GTGTATCTAAAAATTAAAAAAAAATTGTTTAAAATATTAAAAAAATTAAATGAAAACAAATAAATATGAAAAATAAAAAAATTAATTTTTTGAAAAATAAATCCTAAACACTAAACCAAACAAACTGAATATTACTCGTTTAGATAATTGAAATTATTGAAGAGTAAGAGGTTGTTGAAATTGAAATGGTTTCCAAATGCCGTGTAAGAATTCACTTTGACATTCTAGTTTAGTTTGGGAAGTTAGATTGGATTTTTAACTTTTTAGTTATTTTAGTTTTGGTTAAAAAATTTGTTTGGATTAATTTTTTTTTTACTTTTGTAAGAGAAAAAATAAAATAATTATGATTTAAATATAATATTTTATTTTATTAAAATTTTAATCTATTTTATTTTTTAATAATTAATTTAGCCAAAAAATCAACCAAACTTTCATGCCAAATGACACCTTTGTTTTTCATCTTACTCGTTTCAAGAATGGGGTCTCTTTTTCTATCCCACACTCGGATCAATTTTTTCCTCTTCTCTCTTTTTCTTTCCTTCTTTTATCTTCCTGTTTATTTTTATTTTTATTTTTATATAATTTTTTAAAAGGAGAAAGTTTTTATAGGCGAAACCTATCATGGGTTCAGTCAACTTTCCCCTTAATTGAATTGATTTTAAACTTAAATTAGGCCATCGTGTGAGGGGTCGGCATGGCCAGGAGGCCCACCCGTTAAGCCGGTCTAGTTGGATTGCTGTTATTTTTAAAAGGAAAATATTACATTAGTGGATGTTTTAAAAAGTAATTACAATTTAGTAATTTGTTTTTATAAATATTAACAATTAAATTTGTAAATATTTTTATGAATTTTTATTTTTTTGGGATTTTTAGTTTAAGATTTTCATATTGAAATTTTACAAGATAAAAGAAAACAAATATTATAGTAGTAGCTAAGGTTTCTAGAAAGAATAATTCTACTTACACCACCAATCTAACTTCTTACACCCTCAAATTTTATTTTTTTTATTTTATATATTTATAATTTATACAATTCTTTTATTACCCTAATTTCTAACCTTACTTTTTATCCTTCTCTTTACACCCAAAACCTTAAAAACCCAAACCCTAACCCTAGTAATTTCTTCCTCTGTCTCATCTCACAGACAATCCTCTTCGACTTCGCATCCGAATCCAATGACCTGGTAATTTCTTCTCTCTCTCTCTCTCTCTCTCTCTATATATATATATATATAAGTATTTGTATATCGTTTTGATTCTGATGATGAGGATTTTGTGATCTCTATATACAACTCTGTTTCAGTCTCTTTTGTTTGAAGCATGTGGAAGGACTGTGAATCCAGTGAACAGAGCCGTCGGATTGTTGTGGACGGAGAACTGGCATGTGTGCCAGGCAGCGATGGAGATGGTGCTCCGAAGCAAAGCATTACGGCTGATTTTCTACAATTAAAAGAGAATTAGAGAGAGAGACAGAGAAGACTTGCAGATCATTTTCGTAACCCATTGGTGATTGTTGCAAGTTTGCAATAGGTGCAGTAAGAGAGAGAAGCTATAGATGCATATATATGCAGTGAGAGAAAGAATGAGAAGGAGGAAAGGTGGTGGAGTGGTGGAGCAGTGGTGGAGTGGCAACGCCGATAGTGGGCTGGTGGAGGTGATAGGGACAATTAGGATTAGGGTTTTTTTGAGGTTTTGAGTGTAAAGAGAAGGAGGAGGAGAAATGTTAGAGATAAGGGTAATAAATGAATTGTATAAATTAAAAAATAAAATAAAATTTGAGGGTGTAGGGCGTTAGATTGGTGGTGTAAGTAGAATCACTCTTCTAGAAAATGCAAGGAGTAATTTTCAGACGAAAATACCCTCATTCAATTTTAGCACTAAACAATACACATTGTTTCAGTATTCAACGCCTTTCACTTTTTGAAAAATTTTAAAACTTAAAAATTCTATAACTTTTGATTATATATCCATTTTTAATCAAATTTATATTTTTAAAGTGTTCTCATTGAGATCTATCAAATAAAATTAATGATGAATATAAAATTCTAAAAAAAAAATTTGACAAAACTTTATTGAGTTGACTATCTACCATCAATGAAATTTTTTTGGCTTTTAGTTAGAGAAATTTCACTGAAGGATGGAGACAAAGGAAGAAAGGGACATTGAGGGGTTGTGAAGAGAGCGAAGAAAGAAAGAAGGACATGAGGCACTCAAGCTTAAAATAAAACCAAACCCCTTGGCCCTAGGTAAATTTTTTTGAAATTTCATAAATTTCTCTGAGTGAAAATTGAGAAATTTCTCTCAGAAATTGAAAATTCAAAAAAAATTCAATGCAATTCTAAAAATTCTCTCACAAAATTAAAAATTCAAATTTTTCTCTGAGCAATTTTGAAATTTCTCTAGTGCTATATTTGGTTAGGAGATTTGGGAAAGGAAATGAAAATGGAAAAGGAAAATATAGGTGAAATGTAAATAAAATATATAAAATGTACCTACATTTCAACTAATATCATATAACTTTTCCCTTACCCTTTCCAAATCTCTTCTCAAATCCCCCAACCAAACACAACATAAGTGAACAAACTATGTCAATCCCTCTTTGTTCACAGCCTTTTTGAAGAGAATATCTTTGATAGTGTAGTAGAAATTCAAAGATGCCAATCGGGAAAGATCTTCAATAAAGGAAGGATCATTAGATTGAGATTTTCCTCTGACGGGATTGAACGGACTTATGTAATATTTTGACCCATTTGAAGACAGATGTGTTAGAGATTTGGGGCGTTTGAGATCACTGAATTGAGAACGTTTCGAAACATAAATCCATTGGCTTTATAATTCTTAGAAGATCGATTGGTCCAAGTGATGTAGAAAAGGTAAGTGACGTCATTGAGGGTTAAGAGCTTGGTTTGGGTGTCGTCGGAGTTGGAGATATCGCACTAGATGTATTTGATGGGGGGTGGTCGGTGTTCCACGGCGGACGAGGGCAGTAAGAGATGCTGTAGACTTTCCAAGGGCCACTGGGGGTGTTGGAGAGATGAAGAATCTCGGTGAAGCTGCTACCAACGATGCCTGTGACGTCGGTCATTAGGGTTATGCACTAGTACTTCAGAGGTGCATCGTTGTCTTCGAATTTCTTCAATGGAGAAAAAAAAAAAAAACAAAAAAAGAGAAAGTACATCTAAAAGAGAAGAAGTGAGAGACTAAATACGTATCATTAAAAGGTAAAGTCGGTATTTTTTTTGAGAAGCGAGTTGGCCTAAAATAGGAGTAATTCTATTTCCACACACTAATTCTTCGTAATTCACACATTTAATGAAAATTTTCATTAATACAATTTTATCCTAGAATAAAAATATCATAATACCCTTTTCTTCTTCTATCCGAACCCTAATTCTAAAACACTACAATCATCCTCTATCGCCAGTGCCACCACTCTCATCCGCCATCCTCTCCCATCACTTCTTTCCCTCTCCGCCTGTGATCATTTTCCGTCATGAACCATACACTCACAAATCTACCACCGCAAATCACTAAAGGTTGAGTGGCGGCAACAACAGTAAAGGAGAAGGAGAAGAATGGAAAAAAAAAATAAAAATTAAGCTCTGTTTAGTTTAATTTTAGAATATGTTTTAAAAAAAATTAATAAAACTTCTTATTTTAATATGATTTTATCTTTTTAGGGGCAAAAAAAATTAAAAATATTTTTTGGTATTTATTTTTATCAAATTTATTTATTTTTTTTCAGAAAAATTTCAAAAAAAAAAATGACTCAAAAATCGAAACTAAACATAGCCTTAAGGTTTTAAAAATGAAAATGAAGGTAATATTGGAATATAGAGATGCGTACTGAGAATTTATATTTTTATAATATTTGTATTGAGAATGTGTTCATTAAGTGTGTGTGCCGAGAGTAATTGGATATAAAATTACCCCTAAAATAGCTCACTAAAAGACAAAATATGTTAAAATAGTGAATAAGACAAAATGTCACATCCAATCCATAATCATTTTATTTTTTCTCTCATAACTATCAAATCAACTATTAAAAAAAAATCAACTATCGTTTCAAACAAAATTATTTAGGCTAAAATAATTAAAGAATCAAATAGCGAACAAAAATAGCATACTTCCCAAACAAGACTCCAATATAATTAAAACCGTGAGGTACCTTAACTCAAAAAAAAAAATTAAAAAAAAAAAATAAATAAATCCCTAGACCTTTACTACTTTTACTACTAAGGCTATATTTGGCATGAAGGTTTAGGTTTGGGTTGTGTTGGGGCTATTTTAGTTATAACAAGACAAAATAGACTTTTTAGCCTAATAAAACAAAATGTTACATCCAAACCATAATCATTTTATTTTTTCTCTCACAAAAGCCATAAAAACCAAAAACCTTATTCCAAACGAGACTTTTTAACTCCAGGTTAAAAAAATCAAAAAATTAAAAAGTTAACCCATATTCCAAATTAAGGCTATTTAAAATATTTGAGTGTCATCTCCCTAATTTTGATTCTGCCTTTCACTAAGGTATTATTCCCCTTTTTTAAAATTTAAAATAAATATAATTGGATTGATTTTAAACTCATTTAATCTTTAAATTGTGTAGAATGATGAGTTCGAGATCAGTTGGACGCATTCATTTTAAAACATTATTAATTTAAATTTTGATAAAGAAAAAATATATATATATATTTGTTTTATAGTAACTTAAATTTACCCTATCTAAAGAAATAAAAAAATAAACCCTTAAATTTAAGCATTTTAAAGGAAAATTGTTTGGCGTGTGTAACATATATACCTTTGGTTTAATATGTTTGTGGTCTTTGATTTGATTTATTATAGTGTTACCTTATGTGATGTTTGGTTATAATTTTTTTTTTCATAATTCAACTATATTTTGATTCAAGCAAGCAAACCTAAATTGATATAAAAAGAAAATTTTAGTGAAACCAAAATTATCAAAACTGAAACATGCTTGATGTTGAAAACAAAAGAAATTATTCAAAAAGAAAGTTCTCAAATGAGTAGTTTTAAAATTCATATACATCCTAATTTGAAAATCCAAATACATCTCAGTAGAAAGAATCGAAATTAAGACGTAGTGTAATATATGAATGATCCAATTCTTCGTCTCTTCTCTGAACAGAAACCAGGCTCTCATGGTAAACAATAGCCTGAGAAGCCACAGTTCGAAGATCTTTCATCTCAAGGGTAATAGGGTCTACCAAGTACAAATGCCCGTCCCCAACTTGGATGAGGAACTCACCTTTCTTCCAAAAGCCAAGCGGAATTGCTCCTTCAAAAGGTCCAGCTATTAATTCTCTTGTCCAACGTTCTTCTTTCAATACCCAAATGTTGAAAACGTTTGGTGCCACGTAATGTGTTGGATAAGATTGTATCCAAGCAAGAGAGCCATTGTAGACTCCAAAATAATGTCCGACAAAATTAGTTCCTGGGTGAGGACAACCTAGCTCTGGTATCCCTTTGAACGGCACCGGTTCATCCTGCTCCAATATGTTTTGAAACACCTCGTAGCCCATATGAAATGAGACTTTCGTAGCATCATCATTTTTGTTACATGCACTCCAGTAGTAAACTCCATCCATGTAAGTGTAGAACTTACAAGTGGAAGAAACACTACATTCTGGAAAAAAACCCTTGAAATCTCTCCAAGAATCATCACACAATGAATATATAGCAATGTGTTTAGGGTAACTTGATGGGTGAATATCAAGGCCGGAACCCCAGCTGTACATCCTAATTGAAACCACTTTATAATCACCAGTGAAAGGATCCATCCCAAACCCAAAAGCATTTCTCTCGAGTTCCATTCTTGGAGGAATGGAGTTGGGGGAAGAGCTCTGGATTCTCTGTTCGCTGGGTTCCATAGAGCCACAGAATTCCAATTGGTTAAGAGACAAAAAATCCCGTTACAAGGACCCATGACGTGCACTTTTGCATTCAACTTTAGACCAAGATATTCAAATACTGGAACTGTGAGGGATTTGTCACGACACACAGCAAAGGTATATTTTCTGGGAAAGTTATTTGCATCTTTGGGTTCAATCCTATGAACGAAGAGGCAACCATTTTCCTTCTTGTTACTGTTAGTGAGATGCTTGGCTATGAAACTGTGATTTGTAATGAGAGAGGACCAAGATTTGGAGACGCACTTAAATCGCAACAAAGATTTGACCGGTAATTTTACAAGAATCTCAACCATCACATCTTCATCTATGTAATGACTCACCATTTCTTTTGTTTTTTCTTTTTTCAGCAAAGTTGTTTGGCCAAAGTCGGATCCCTCAATCAAAGCCAACGAAATTGCGCATCCATTTCTTCAAAACGTAAATGAAAGTGCTTTGTTACAAGAATAATCTAGAATGAATTCAAAAATGATTTTTTTATTTTTTATTTTTTTTCCTTTTTAATTCTACAATACGCTAGCCCTTACAAGTTCACAACCAATAGCAATAAAAATAATAGAAAACGTGAATCTAGAAAAGCCCAATCAATCTAATCTGAATAAAGATAAGCACACACCACCTTTACACCCATTTTAGACACTCATATCGTTGGTAGAGGGGATTAGAACGTGGAGAAATTACTTCTTCTCAATGTGTAAGTAAAAAAGTTTTTTCAAGTGAATGATATTCTTTATAAATATTAATATGCAAAATCATAATATTTTTCTTGATTTTGTAATTAAGGTTTGAAGACAACGCTAACAGATATTTTTCCCTTAAAACAAGGCACTAAATTATGTAAGCATTAAATTTTAAAGATCTTTTTTAATCATAAAAGGAATGAACACATATAAATAATTTTTTCCCCTTTTATTTCCCTTCTTAAATTCAAAATTTAAAATTTTAATCAGTGTGTTTGATTTTAATTTTCTGAATTCAATTTTCTGAATATTGAGTTTTTTTTGTTTTTTGTATTTTTTTGTTTTTAGTAAGCAATTTTTTTTTTCATATTTTTGAATATATTATGAAAGAGTCAAGATAAGGTCATGACAGATTAAATGAGTACTTTCTCAAAGTTTAGTTTTCAATTTCATAGATTGTGCATTTGATCATGAAGAACTATATAATCAGAAATGATTTGGTAGACATAGTGACTGTTGCTGTTGCTGTTGCTATTGCTATGTGCACAGTGAAATTTGTATTGATGCAATTATTTATGTTACTTAGTGTCCCTAACGTTTACCTTTAATTGGCCGAAGTAGTTACTCTTAGACTTGAACCTGTGTACTACACTTGACAGCCCAAACTTTTTGCCATTGCACCAAACAATAGGTGATATCTTGCAAATCAAGTGATTAAAACCCAAGTTTGACTATCTCCAGCAACCAGTTACTGGTATAGCCTCAATTTAAATTGTGTTACAATTCAAAAGGTGCCAAGTTCTTGTGTGGTATATCATATATGGATACCTGGACTTGGGTACGAGTGTTGTGTACAGGTTTGTGTTTAAGTGTGTCATATTATCTAATTGTCATGTCCAAGAGGATACCAAAATATGGCTTGATTTCATATTTCTTAAGTACTTTATTTATTTAGAGTAAAATTGTGTTTATAAACTAATGAAGAGTATTTTAGACATAAAATGAGAGTTTTATGCAAAGTTATCTTCCTATTGCTTCAGTCGATCAACCCGCTGATATCTTCACTAAGGCTCATCCTCCTGGCCGCTTTACTGATCTTGTTTCCAAACTCAACTTGGTAGATGC